TGAGGGCACAGAACAAGCAACTGGAAGACTAGTTCAGGCCTTAAGTGAGGGGTGTGTGTGTGGCTCAACTCCTGGCCAAGTCTGTGCGACACTAAAGTCTCTCAAGAGTGTGGACAGTTGGAATCCTTCTCCAATCAGAGGCTCATAAGGGTTCACGGTCCTTGCAAACGACCATGCCCATGTCTCTTTATAAGCGTGAAGGAGATGAGCAAAGAAGTTGGCAAACCTCCATGAGAGGCAAACCACCCTCTCATACTGAGAAAACTTAGTCTAATATGTGACAGACAAACCCCGCAACAATGAGTATTCTTAGCCTCTCAGTATGTCTTACTCTCTAGGAAGGGCCCCCCCCCGTCATTGACAGCAGGGGCTCCTGACATCTGTGCAGATCAGGGGAATTCGGGACAGAATCAAGGGAGCCGAAACAAGGACAAGGAGTTTCTCTCTGCAGAAGAGAAAAAGAATACATCCAAGAAGCGAAGGGTAGGGGAGTGAAAAACAAGGGCCAGGCTTGAGAGAAAGCTTGGGGGTGTTTGAGGAGAAAGGAGAGAGAATGGCAGACTGCTGCTGTAATGTGTGAGATGAATAGAGGAGAGAAGTTTAAGACGTTTTCCTCTATGCTAAGAATGTAAACCCCCGTAGAATTTTCCCAGAGACTATAATAAAAATCTAAATTGCTTTTTAATTCTTTTTGACTATTGGTTGTGTTTCTTTTAAATGTGCTATTATGCTGAGATGGGCCTCAAGGCAACTCAGCTTCATAAAAGTTGAATTGGGGGAGTACTGTCTGGGATTGTAGATCTAAGAGGCAGCTTTCTATATCTAAATGAGTCAAGCCAGCATTGTCATCATGATTGTTGGATTTATAGTGCAAAAAGTGCACAAACTATATAAAATAGAGACTTGAGGTAAAGCAGACACCAAGTAGAGGAAAAAGGTACAGACCACTGAGGATCTTAATTTTAGTGAGAATGTGATGTTTGGAACTAGGTGTACCTGATGGAGACCTATGTCTATGCAGCATGGAGTTTCTTTTCCCCCTTGGACTGTGAGGCTGGAATAAAGAAATAGAACAGCTAGGTGATTCCCAGAGGACAGAAAAAAAAAGGCAGAAAGCAGAAGAGGAGTGTGTAGGGGTTGTTTTTTTCTTCCTAAACAGCTTTGCTTTGCTGTTTATTACTTTTAATTGTTCTTTCATATGTGCAAATACTCTAGTGACATGACCAGAATACCCATCCAGCCCCCTTTTGCTTGGGAGTGGACCCATTCAACCAACCCTAGGGCACTGGTGTCCAGAGGGTCCAGCCCTGTAACCCAGCAACCTTAATGAGGTTCTGCTTCACTCTCTACATCTGTCCCCCTTATTTTTCTGAGACTAGACCTTTCTCCTCTTCTCCGTGTCTCACTTTCACCCAGAATTCCTAAAATAATATGGTTGTGGGTCTGATGCACCAATTGTCTCCTCATATTTTCAAGTCCTGCTACTACTAGTCCACTCCCCCAGTTCCCACCTACCCTCGGCTCTCAAACATCTGACCTGGAGCTTGACTGGATCGGCCACACCCCTCGATCTCTGCACCTGTTCCCCATGTTCTTTCGTGCTTTTCCAGTAATTTCCCCTCCCTTTAGGCTCACACCCCTTATGCCCTCAGTGGGCTTCATGCTAGCACCTCTGGGCAGCATGGTGTAATCTCATGCTGAAAGCCTGGACATACACAGGATCCTCAACAATAGTGGCAAGGGCCTTGTATGATGGCACAATTTAGCTCCTACTGTGTGGGTGGTATGCTTAATGTAAGGTTAAGGCCAAGATGGGAGGCCCTGTATTGGTGACAGGGTCCTAGTGGATAGAAGGCAGGGACTCGCCTGATGAGTAAGGGAGCTGGCAAGATGAAATCATCTATGTCCAGAGCTTGTCAAGAGATGTGAAGTAACAGACGCAGGTAAATGACCTGCAGGCCATGCCAGTCTTTTCTGCTTATAGCAGAGCTCTCTGGGTAAGAATGAAGAGCAGGGTTGAACCTGTAAGCCCTGAGAATGTGTTTGCTATAAATATGATCAGAAACTTATGCTGTGTAAGCTCAGGCAGTTGGCTCTGTGTGCCCGTGTGTGTGTGTGTGTGTGTGTGTAACTTTGTTTCTAGTTTTCATATAGTTTTTTGGTCAAGTCTTTTGGTAAATACTGGGCCACATTGGCTTGCTTAGGGAAACCAAGGAAAAGCATTTTTGTCTGCTGAGCTTTAGGAATAACCTGTGGGGCATATGGAGGAGGTAGGAGTGATAACCAAGATAAGAGTGCCACAAGTCTGTGGAAGGAAGGAAGTAGAAATGAGCACGCAAATAGGATTGGATCATTTGTTTTAGAAAATACAATATTATAGGGGTTTTAATTTGTTCATATATTTGTTTAGGGAAATAAAATTTCTAATAGTTGTATAATACTTTATTATATCAGCAATGCCTTAGATGAAACATTCTGCTATTTAGGATATTTCCCCACTTATTTCTATTTTAATAGCAGTAAGACAGGCCTAAGCCAAACAGCTCTTCAGAGCCACGTAAGTTCCTCTGGGCCAGCCTGCTCTTCATCATTAGAGTACGCAACCAGGGAAACCCAAGGTAACACATTTGCTATCCTTGAACCGCTAGTATACGAAACACTCACCCATACCTAGCTCTTCCCCATCTTGTTTCTCCTCCCTGGATTTATTTCTTCTTGTGAACTGATTTTTGGTTTCTGATCACTTGGCTTCTCCAATTTACTAAGGTCATTATTAGTAAGTATGCTGCTGCCCAGGTGCTGTTTGCTTTTCAATCTAAAGTCATTTGTAAATATGTTAAATTCAGATTTTCTTCCCCCTTCTCCCCTCCCACTCCACCCCTCAATAGGAAAAGGAGTTGTCACAAAGGTTGAGACTCTCAGTGCATGTCTTTTCCTGGGCACCGGGTCTGCCCAGGGGGAATGATCTTCACACACAGCCTCCCCCCG